TGAAGGAGCTGAAAGCTCTTTCAAGGGCTGAGCTGAAGAGCTGGAGCTGGGGTGGGCTGGGCTGGGGCGGGCGGCGCTGGAGCGGAGAGGGGTTGAAGGAGGGCTGGCCGAAGGGTGGAGGGGTGGAGGGGCTGGAGATGGAGGGTGGGCCAGGGAGGGTCAAGGGGGGCCAAGGCCCTGGCACAGGCTGGGCCCCCCAACCACCACCCCTCTTTCCCTCACCATCCAAAAAGAGTTTAAACAATCACAAAAAAACGTTTTTCTCTTCACCAACCCTCCCCCCCTCCCTCTCCACCATCAAACCCCCTCACCATGCCTACTCCCCCAGCTCACTTTTCACTCCCTCACGTTCTCAACCGCTTCCACACATTAATCAGCTGCTTTACCCTATCATCTTCTTATCATCTTTTATCATATTTTATCATCTCTCATATTATCTCTTTTTATTATCTTCCATCATGTTTAATCATCTTCATATGCTTTTCTTATCATCTTCATATCATCTTTTTATCATCCTTTATCATCTTTTTGTCATCTTTTATCATCTTTTAATCGTGTCAAATTCGGGATCTCATTTGGAAAGCATCCTTATCTGAATCATCTTCTATCGTTATCACCCTTTATCATTTTTTATCATTTTTATCATCTTTTTATCACCTTTTATCACCTTTTATCATCTTTTATCCTCTTTATCATCTTTTATCATCTTTTACCATCTTCATATAATAGTCTTATAATCGTTTTGTAGTCTTTTTTGTTTTTTCGTAATCTTTAAGATCCTGTGGTCTCGAGGTAATTAAATTTTTGCATTATGATTGCGGGTTTTTTTGCTGCAGAGAGTTAAATCGCAAGCCCTGGTCCCTAAGATTTTGGGTTTAATTCTACCTCCAACAAGCCAGATCGCAAGCTCTATTTCTGTGATTGTGGGGTCTTTTTTTGCTGCAAAGAGTTAAATCGCAAGCCCTGATACCTAAGATTTTGGGCTCAAGTTTTCCTCCAAAAAGCCACATCGCAAGCTTCGCCATCTAGGCGCCACGTCTTTAGAATAAAACAGCACCGCGTAGATCCAGGCAGATTTCGTCCAACCATTTTTGTCAGAAAGCATCATAGACAAAATTTGCCTGGATCTACTCGCCACGTCTTTGGAAGAAAGCAGGACCGCGTAGATCCAGGCAGATTTTGTCCAATCATTTTTGTCAGAAAACATGACGGACAAACTTTGCCTGGATCTACGCGCCACGTCTTTGGAAGAAAACAGCACCGCGTAGATCCAGGCAGATTTTGTCCATGTACTAAAGTCACAAATCGAAAGCAGTGTCGCCCGTAGTTTATGTCGAAACAGCCTTCTTCGAACTCATAAATCGCAAGCAGTGTCCCTATGCGTTGTTGTTGCGCGCAAATGTCCAACGCCACAAATCGCAAGCAGTGTCCCCATAAAATGTTGCTGTAAGATTATCTACAAAATTCATAAATCGCAAGAAGTGTTCCCCGTAGTTTTTTTGCTGTAAGATTATGTACCAAGTTCACAATCACAAGCAGTGTCCGCCCTTAGATGTTTCTACAAGAGTATGTGCCAAAATCGCAAATCGCAAGCAGTGTCCCCCGTATTTTTTTGTTGCAAGAATATGTACCAAGAACACAAATCGCAAGCAGTGTCCACCCATAGTCCTTTTTGCTGAAAGAATATATCCAAAATTCACAAATCGCAAGCAGTGTCACCCTTAGTTCTTTTGCTGTAAGAATATGCTCCCAAGTCACAAATCGCAAGCAGTGTGCCCCATGTTTTTCCTGTAAGATTATGTACCGAATTGCCAAATCGCAAGCAGTGTCCCCCTTAGCTTTTTCTACAAGAGTGCCAAACTCGCACATGGCAAGCAGTGTCCCCTGAGAGAAGATGTCCCAAATCCACAAATCGCAAGCAGTGTCCCCCATAGTTTTTGTTGAAAGCGTATTCTGCAAAGTTACATATCGCAAGCAGTGTCCCCCTTAGTTTCTTTTGCTGCAAGAAGAGCTTGCCTGCCCGTTGGTTCGGGCTTAGGATTTTAACTTTTTTGCTAGAAAACCGAAAACCAGAAATACAAAAACCAAAAACAAAACTGAAACCGTTGGATTGGTGGCAGTCATGGCCCCCCCCCCATCCCCCTGTTTCCATGTGGTCGCCATTGCCATCATCCAGCTCAGCGGCCGGGGGGCCCAGTCAAGACATGAGGGGTTTAGACCATAAACCCTAAACTCTAAACCCAAAACAAACCCTTAAACAAAAAATACGATGCCAGTGTCAGAGTCAAAAACCGTTACTGAGGCCCTTTCTCTTGAAACCTCAAACCCAACACCCCACCCCCCTAATAAAGCCTTTAAACCCTAAACTCAGGTATCGACCTGCAGACACATGGTCAAAACCATAAACCCTAAGCCAAAACCCTAAAACCCTAACACCCTAAACCCTTAAACCCACTCAGGTGCAGACTAGAGGCGCCGGTTTAGGCTTAGGGTTTAGACGTGGTTAGCAAGTGCTTGCAGGCAGGGAGTGCAAACTCCCTGTCAAGGGGCCGATGCTGGGGTGAAAACCCTGGTGGCCCTAGCAGCATGCCGGAGCCCCATCTCTGGCGCTGCAAGCCGGGAGCGCAAGCCTCGGTTGCTGCAGTTCGG